TTGGGGAGAAGAACATACTGAAAGTCCTTATGGCATCTTCCAAACCACCTGACAGCGCCACCTGCTGATCATTACCTGCTAGAGCGTCATTCCTCACTCAGAGTACAGCTAGGGGCCTCCTGCCACCTCATCCCAGGCCACCCCCAGATGTGGTCACTTCTACAGAGAGCGGAAGGAGGAGAAACACTGGAGAATCCAGAGCTTTCTGTCCTGGGGCTTATGGTTTAAAGGGTAGATCTGAGCCAAATGGTAGCCCCATCATTGGTTGCCTTCTGTTCACGCCCCAACTGGGGACCGAACCGTCTACCCCGTTTCCGATCTGAACAGTAAAAAAAAACAAAAAAACATTGGCCTTTGTTTCCTTTGCTTTAAGTGGAAATATTCTCCCTACTTTATATATCTAGATACCAGGAAAGGAAGTTGCTTTGGATGCCCGAGTGCCCTTTATTCCCTCTGTAATCTCTCTCAAGTGTGACTTTTTTTGGCCTTTGCTAAGCAATCGAGGTTAAAAAAAAAAGTATTAGCAGTATCATTTGCATGTGTAGCAGTCAGTCAGACATTTCATTTCTGATTTATTAATCCTAAGGGAGAAAAGCTCTTTTCTTGAGTCCTCTGTACAACATTTTAAAAATTGAGTCTATTTATTTTATTTTTTTTCTCCGGGACCGTATAACAGTTTGAGAGTGTATCTCATAGTTGATTTAATATATATATATATGTATAAATCTAGCTGTTTCTATATTCTTAACAACTTTAGTGCAAGATTTTTAAGGAAAAATTAATGATGACATTTGAAAATACCCATTACCATGTTGGGTATTACCACATTTCTTTTCCATTTGAAGAAATTGTGCTTAGGTGTTCATGGGAGAAATTATCCCTACCCTACCCTTATCTGTCAGAAAACAGAGCTCTCTAGACAACTGTTTTCTCTCCCCTCTGTATATGTAACTTGTATTTGAGATGTAGGTCTAAGCAATGCTAAGGTGACAAGCCTAACCAAGGGGAAGGACCGATAGCAGAGCACTCTGACTCCTGGAGTGTTACTGTTATATCTTGATTTAATAAAATGCCTGTAGCTGAAAACAGGTAAGATGGTAAAGCTTGCACACAGCATTCATTAATACTAAAAAATGCTATCAGGGCCCGGCTGGCGTGGCTCAGTGGTTGAGGGTTGACATATGAACCTGGTCCGGGCTTAATCCCCAGTGTGGGGCATGCAGGAGGCTGCTGATCAGTGATTCTCTCTCATCATTGTTGTTTCTATCTCTCTTCTTCTCCCTTGCTCTCTGAAATCAACAAAAATAATATGTATTATAAAATGCTACCAGGGCAACCAGCATGTTGCAGAGGATCTGTGAATGCTTCTTCATCTAGAATTTCAAGCAGTACATAAAATATTTATACAGCACCGTGCTGCTTCACCCCGACAAGAGCACAGGTTCAGGTGTGTACGGTTACTGCTGGCATCACTGACATATGAGCTGCCGAAGAACCTTGAATGGTATTTGGAATGTTAGAAAGTCAGGTACCTGTCATGGGGTTAGGTTTGTAGTGACTGATAAAGTGGCCCTGGTTCCTAAACATAAATATTTATCTTGTTACCAAAATGGCACTGAAGAGTAAAGACACATCACAGAGGAGGGAGAAGAAGAGAGTTTTCATATGGAACTTAAAAGAGTGGATGGTACCCAGTTGGTGTGGCTCAGTGGTTGAGCATTGACCTATGAACCAGAAAGTCACGGTTCGATTCCCGGTCAGAGCACATGCCTGGGTTGCGGGTTTGATCCCCTATAGGGGGCGTGCAGGAGGCAGCCGATCGAGATCAATGATTCTCTGTCATCGATGTTTCTGTCTCTCTCTCCCTCTCCCTTCCTCTCTGAAATCAATAAAAATATACTTTTAAAAAGATCATTAAGTACAAAGCTTATTTGTAAAATAAAAATCTCATTATAAATTTACTAACTGTGGATGCCTATTACATTTTACCTGGAAAAGAGGAATGAGAGCACCTGCCCAGTGGGCTCTTTGTAAGGATTGTAAGAATAAGGCACCTTAGGTACTGGATGCCTATTACATTTTACCTGGAAAAGAGGAATGATACCACCTGCCCAGTGGTGCCCTGGCAGGGAATCAAACCCACAGCCTTTTGGTGCAGGGGACAATGCTCTAATCAGCTGAGCCACCTGGCAGGTTTGATCCCAGAGTGCCCTGACAGGGAATCAAACCCACAGCCTTTTGGTGCAGGGGACGATGCTCCAATCAACTGAGCCGCCTGGCAGGTTTGATCCCAGGTCGGGCACATGTGGGAGGCAGTCAATCAGTGTTTCTCTCTTACATCATTGTTTCTGTCTCTCCCACTCTCTACCTTTCTCTCTCTCTCTAAAAAATCAATTTAAAAAAGCATTCTTCAAGTGAGGATTTTTTTTTTAAAGGCACCTTACTAACAACAATTTCTTGTTTGTTTTAACAGTGATTACTTCCAGTCATGGGCACATGTGGGAGGCAGTCAATCAGTGTTTCTCTCTCACATCAGTGTTTCTCTCTCTCCACTCTCTACCTTTCTTTCTCTCTAAAAAATCAATTTAAAAAAGCATTCTTCAGGTGAGGATTTTTTTTTTTTTAAAGGCACCTCACTAACAACAATTTCTTGTTTGTTTTAACAGTGATTACTTCCAGTCATGACTTTACCTGCATTTTCTTTAAACCCTCAGAATAGACCAGTAAAGTAGTGGTGTTTCCATTTTAGAGATAGAATTTAAAAAATGAGGAACACATATTTGCAACACATAAGGCAACGTTCGTATATAGTATCCTGATACAAGGCTATCTCTGTGTCCTTATGGTAAGATGCTTTCTGACTCTGATAGGCTTGAATGGGCTTTGCTCCTTATAGCCAAAGGTTCCCAATGAATATACCATCTTCTCTCCATTATTAGGGTACTAAGTTAATAATATCTCTGATAGACAAAATGGTACAACAAATGACGAGCATTCTAACAGAAAAGTAAAGGACATACACAAGAAGTGCAAAAAAAGTAAAAAATGTTCAACCTCAGATATGCTAATAAAATGAACTTTTAAAATCTATAGAATGGGGTGGTTAAAAAAAATAATACTACACTATTTTAGAGGGAGTGCGGAGAAGTGTACTCATGTTCCGCTAGAGCATAGAGTGGCTGAAACGTTGTATGGGGTGAGTTGTCAACAATATCAAATCCATGTACTTTGCATACCTCTGACCCATGTTCCTATCCCTAACAAATACTTAATGGTGTGTTTGAGGATATCCATCTCACTATTATCTATATAATAAAAAATTGCAGCATTTGACGTCACTCATCTATCTTTGGGCTAATGGGCCTCTCCACTCTCTTGGTCTTTCTCCTACCTCTGTAACCAGCCCTCTGTGCCTCCTTTATCCGTTCTTCCTCTGCCTCCCTCATCCTTCACTGTCTTCTACTCAGTCCCCTTAGAATTTTCATTTAGTCTTGGGGCTTCAGCCATCTTTTTTGAGCTAAGAGTCTAAGAAACAGTCTTTCCCCGCTGTGAGTCATCCTGCTGTTGCTGGGAGTTTGGACATAAAATGTTTGTGTGGAATGAGAACACATCCACTTTGACACAAAATCTGGGCACATTGGACATACTGAGAGCTCATCTCCTGGCTCCAGGTAGAGGCCCCTGGATTGTGTGTGAAGGTCTACTCCAGATGGCGGAATAAGTTTCTTGTGTGAACTTGGTGCACAGCAGTGTGAATGCATGTAATTTCACTGAACTGTGTACTTTAAAAAATGGTTAAGATGTTAAATTTTACATTATCTATATTTTACTACAATAAATTTTTATTTAAAAAAAAGAAAAGAAGATGGGGTAATTAATAAGAATCTTACCTTAAGGCACGGGTACTTTAAAAAATGGTTAAGATGTTAAATTTTACATTCTCTATATTTTACCACAGTACATTTTTTTATTAAAAAAAAAAAAGAAGAAGATGGTGTAATTCATAAGAATCTTACCTTAAGGCACGAATGCTTGTAAATTTCAAAAGCATTTGCAGAGCTGATGCAAAAAATCCCGGATTTGTAAAAATGCTAATGTTGTCCGTGCTGAAGTGCAAGACTAACTTAAAATAATCAGAACAGTCCCTTTCAAATTGGACAACTAGCTCAGTAAACACAAGACAATGGATGGTACTGTTAACCCTCTCAGTGTGAGGGTTAAATTGTCTGGAAGGTGGGTGGGCATTGCCAGAACTGGAGCTGGGCCTTGCCAGAAGGGATAAGAAAAGCTGTATCTTGCCTGGGTGTATGCATGGGTGTATGCATTCTTTGGAGCAAAGACTTATCTGATTAGAACAGAGGGTGTTTGTTGGAAATTGGAGGAAGATAAGATAAAGTAGATCTAGACTGAAGTTTGTGTTGTGTTTGTGTGGTGTTGTGTTTGTTTGTTTTATGGAACAGAGATTTATTACCACCATGGATAAGGATATAATAGAATGTTAGACTTGGAAATTAGAACAGAGAGCTTCCAAGCTGGAGATAATCCTGTAAGGTAGGGTGGGAATGACTATTTGTTGAGTACCTGCTGTATGTCAGGTGTAAGACCTCGCAGCTCTTAATCTTACAGCAACCTTAAGGGTAGATGATATTATTCCCATTTTATGCATAACACACTGAATTTTGAGGAAATAGAATTTGTCTAAGTTCTGCGTGTGCCTGGGTCAGGATCCAAGCCCAGGGACATAGGCCTTCAAAGCCCAGTGAGGATGGAGAACACCAAAGCCAGTTTTATAGTGAAGAGAACTGAGACCCGGGAAACGGGACTGTTCGAGGTTATACAGGTCATAGGATGGAAGCAGCTGTTCTGCAAGAGAGAGAGGATAGGTGGTGATCCGCAGAGAGAGAACAGGTTAGAGCCTGCTGCTACAAACAGGTAGGGGTGCCAAAGAATTTGGTAATAGCGGTGGATTGGAATGAAAAAGAGGTAGAGAGCGGTAGGACATACAAGGGAAAGCTGTGGTGGACTGATCTTATGGAGTAAACTTTACTAAGTAAAGGATGATGGAGAGGGATGACTTGGAAATAATCCCACAGTTAATCCCAAGGGACTGCCATTTATAGAGTGAGTCTTCAGTGGAGCTACTTTTAAGAGAAAGGCCATGTGTTACTGATGGAGTGGTCTGACTGAAATGACAAATGTTAGAAGATAAAATTGATGGTATTGATGAGCTGACTGATGCATATTGGTAAATACACGGAGAACAGCAATGGAAATGAAGGTGAAAGGCCATGAGGAGCAGCCCATTTCTTTGACGTGATGGTGAGAGATGTGCCCCAAGAGCAAGCGACTAGCTGTTACCTACAGCCTAGGAGACTTGTGTTTGCATGACATGCTAGGCTCTCTGTTACACTGGCCTACCCTTTCCCAGCAGGAAAAGCACTTCACTGTACTTGGATTCCTGAACTGCATAGCCGCCTCTCACACTTGATTCCCCTTTCCTGCAGGTCTGCAGCCTAGAAAGGAATATTTCTCCATCACATTTCCCTCAACCAGATTCTTTTGTCTTTTCAGAATGATTGTCACTGTACTGGACAGACTGCTGAACTACTGAAGTCCTTCCGTCTTTTGACCACACGAGGAAATTGTCCATGGAGTTGAAATATTTATTGCAGTAATTTCTGGCCTTACATAACTGAGGTAAGCTTTTTCCCATATACTTGTCATGAAGTTGCTGTGCTTGTCTCTTTTAACTGTGCTTTTTAAGGGACATTAATCCACTTTCCCCTACCTTTTGTGCCCCAGTAATCCTTCAGGGTGCTCCTAACCTGCAAATGCAGATATGGGTGCAGAAAAGACATTTATAGGATGAAATATGAGCAAGCTGTTTGACTCTGAAGAATAAAGAGGAAAATGTATTGCTCTTCATATTAAATCAATAAAATATCCCATTTCCATAAACGCAATATGCATGGAGTGGATTATGCTAGAGAAAAATCAATAGATTGAAAGGTGTATTATTAAGGCTACTTGAGAAAAATGGAGATACTTAAATATTAATATATTGCTGGATTTATTCAAGTATAGAAAACCTAGAAAATACAGAAAATTTAAAAGAAAAAAATCTGGTATTCCACATCCAGATATATAATCAAGGTTAAAATAGTACTGCATTAATTATAATGTTTGTATCACAAATACTTGTAATGATGTGTGTGTTGTGTGTGTTCATTTGCTAGATTTTTAAAAAATGAGCATCATCACATGCTTACTCAGTACTAGGCTCTGTACCAAGCATTTTACATACATTAATTTATTAGTTCTCACTACCCTGTGAGGTTGGTACATTTTCATTCCCCATTTAAAACTTGAGGTTCAGAGAAATTAAATGACTTGTCCATGCTCACACAACTGGTAAACCCACTCAGAACTTGAAGTAGTCAGGTACCAAAGTCTATAGTAATGGGATTTTTTACACACTTCCATTTCTTAATAAAATGCATGTTCCTTTCCCACTATCACATCATTTTAAATGACCACGCTGTGTTCACTATGGGAATGCAGTGGTTTCTCTACCTCCATCTCCTTTTGTTGGACATGTATTTGTTTTCCTATACTTATGTTTAGAAATAACATTGCAGTGCACATCTTTTGTGCACAGCCATAATTCCCCCAGGACAGGTTACTGTGAGTGGCATTGCTGAGTGAATGGGAATGTGGAAATGTACTGTTCAGGGTTTGATACACTCTGCTAATTGTCTCCTCAAAAAGTTGTGCCAGTTTATAGTCTCACTAGCAGCATATGGAAGTGCCTGGTGACCCTAAGTCCTCAGCAATATTGGTAGTTAGTAACTTGGACACTTTTGTTTGCCTTTTAAAATGGTCCCAGGTGTCCTTGTTCAGGTCCATATTCTTGCCTCTGATACTCTAGAGCAGGGGTCCTCAAACCAAGGCCCACGGGCCACATGCAAATACAAATATTGTATTTGTTCCCGTTTTGTTTTTTTACTTCAAAATAAGATATGTGCAGTGTGCATA